CTTACGAGGCCCTTCCATGATTTCTTGCATCCTCACACAGTTTGTGGCACCGTGCAGGAAGGAGGATACGGCCTCCTCGTGGCGTTGGCGTGCCTGGAGATGACCAAAGTTATTGTGTGGGACAAGCGCTCACTTTCTTTGGTTCAAGATCTCGTACAGCAAGTCCAGGAAATCCGCTGCGGCTCCGTACTGCCCGCTCATGGTGCCATCGATCAGGTTGTCGGGAACATCCATCCCTTTCTTGGCGATCAGTCGGCGGATCTGCTCCCAGTTGTCTTTCTTGTAATGCGAGCACGTTGCATTCTCAAATGAATGCATTTGGACGTCTTGCTGCGAGAACAAGCTGGGGATCAAAGGATGGCAGCAGGAGCACGAGGTTACAGGCACAAACATTCTCACCGCCCATGGCAGCATGCCGCCCACGGCATAAAACGCTCCACTATTGATGCACATTCCAGTCACCAATGGCAACATCTCTTTCAAAGATGTCGGCCTGATCCCTATGTGCTCTCTGCGCTATTTCTGGATGACATTATCTTTGGTTTAAAAGTGTGAAATGGCAAATGCTTGTGTTCTAAAGCGGCGCTTTGTGCAGGAGGAGGCAATCAGGTACAAGACTCCTTCCCCGCCGCGGATCCCTTGAAGCGAATGTGAGATATTTGCGATACCTGTGAAATCGGTGCATACCGGAAAGTAGCGACTCAGAATCTCAGCAGCCATGAAGCCGTTGGTCAGGTCCCTAGGCACAAATTCAACACCGCTCAGAAGCTTCGATGTGATCGCTACACTTGCCGAACTGTGTTGTAATCTGCTCACCGTAGTTAATTTGCTTCCGGAGCTCGTAGGAAGATGCAAGGATGTGCACTGCCGCTGCACAGTTGGTGAAATGAAGTGCACCAAACGGACCACGGGACTGGGATGAAGGCCTTTGGCTATACGCAGCACCAATCAGGTGCATTTGTTTTCTGCGACAAGTGGATAGTCTCCCAGTTCCGTAGTGTGCAAAACATTGGAGGGAATCCAAGGCGGATCTCCAACGCTAAATGCAATGTCCTCGCGCTGCAGGGGGGTACCACCTGCGGCGTTGCCCACGTGCACACGTGACCCTTTACAGAATCAAGCACAGCAGGCGCATTACAATGTATCCGTTAGCTGCGATCCTATGCCCATGGATCCCAAAGAACAATGGACATTGCTTCTTCCGTTACCTCCTCACATTGCGCAATGGATGCGATAGGTCCAGTCCTTGGACCCACTTCAAAACGTCCCTGTGTGGAGTGCGCTGGTCGGGAGGTGACTCATAACCGAACAACGTATTGTCGATCTTGCGCGGACTCGCTCTGTCCCTCCGGGAGACCATGCTTTCAGCACCGACGCCCTCACTTTGACGGGATATTGACCTTCAATGGCCAGACGTTGTGTTTGAGTTTGTCTCAAGCGGAACCACCTTCACGAGGCTGCGATGTCCAGGTCCCCTACGCAGACGTAGGCGGAAGCCCCGCAATATTGAAGGGCACATCTCCCGGCGACGTCGCCGCTTTGGATTACGTGAATTTTGTCATTTTCTGGTTGTTCGCTCTTTTTGAAGAGTCCATTGCTTCCCCAAACGGTGTCGACAGCAACTGTCGGCACTGTTTTGGGGAAGCAAAGGACTCTTCCTTTCCTGTGCTGGAAACTTGCTTCGTGCTTCCAATTACCGTCGCTCAGTGACAGAGGCAGAATTTGTGGAAGATAAAGAGGAAAGGGGACGGGGGGAATGCGGCTGCATCCCAGCGTCAATTGGGTGTTTCAGCGTGTCAAGATCGACAGCAGCTCCCAAAGCAGCATGAGTTGTGTCATAACGGGGAGAATAAATTCATCAAAAGGGGGCTGGATTGTCGTTTTCACAAATCACGTTTTGTGCTTATGCTGTCATATACTTCGCTCTTTCGTATCGCACCATATACAATCTGCACGCAGTACACATCTGCTTTGCCCCGTAATCATCTGCATTCGTTGGCAAACAGGGAACGCATCAGGGATGCCCCAGCACTTTGCATGCATGTTACTGGGGATTCCACCACCAAAATCCAGACAGAAACATCCCGTGGGCTGCGGACATCCAGGCGCATGCAAACTGAGCGGGTATGGAGAGAAAAGCTGAAAAAAGCCGCAACGATTCATGCAGATTCACTCAGAAACCCATGCAACTCGAACGATGAGAATACCATGGAGGTGCTGCGCCAAAACTCGAAAATTTGGGAACGAAAAAAGCTGGATTCGAAGCCAGACTAGTCGGGCTACACGCCGCAGTCTGTGTGCAGAAGTGGCGCACACAGAGGAAGCCAGCAAGGTGCTTCAAACTTCACAAACTATTGTTCGCTCCGCTGCGCAATCTTGCGGCGCTGAACATGTTGCGGCTGCCACTCAAAATAGCCCGTTCTCACCTCGTACATGACACCTCATCAAATCCGTTTTGAGCCTTAAAATATCCTATCAATTCTTGGAGTTCACATCAGATTCCCAGCCCGCCCGCCCTATCCCTGAACATGTATCCCACTTTTGTAAGCTGTTACGATCCGCTCACATAATCCACCTGCAAGTATTGCATCAATCACTGGGAAAAAGGGCCAAATAACACGTGTTCAAATGTGCACAAAGCTTACTGGTTTGGGTCATTTCCGTGTTTTTAGCGTGCCGAACGCTGATAGTATGCATATATATGTGTTCGCAATAAGTGTTATTTGGTCCTTTTTCTGCTAATGAATCCCGCACAACCCGCAGCTTAAGTTGCATAAAAAATGCCGCTTCAACACTCTACACTTTGACCCAACAGATTCGAAAAAAAAACGCTGCCGCACTTCGAGCAGCTGCCACCATGACAATTGGAGCCACACGACGTTACTCATCCAGCGCATCCACGACCTTTCTGTCTGTGCTAGTTCATGGCAGTATATATACCACCTCTGATTTTTATTCAGTAAGCAGATCATGTCGACATTCAAGCTGTCAAGTGCCAATAGAAAACAATATAGAACCCATCAAACGCTAAATTAGAAAAGAAATGACACCACGTGTCCATGCAGCTCATTCTGGGTTATTCTTACGTCATCTTAACTTGGACGCCAATGCCAATTCAGACGGCCTTCCTTGCGGCTGCCGTTGAGGAGTCAAACGTATAACGTGTCGACATCTTGAGTCGTTTTTCTGATCAATGAGATTGGGCATCATGAGCTGCAGTTGAGTTCAGTGTAACCTCACAGTTGCATGAATATTCTGCTGCCCTGGTGCACGGCTGAAATGCAAATTGATGGCATTCATTGTCTCTTACTGTCGATGGCATGATCCACAATGCTGCACTCCCGTTTGCCATTGCTTCCCTTGGTGCCATAATTTGGCATGGCCAGCCTTATGCAATCAAAGCCGTTGCTCTAATTTTCCCAACAAAATTGCCTGAAACACCGTTCTGCATTCTTGAGCAGGTTCACTTGTACTTTTGCGTTGCTTTCGTTTCCCGTTGCTCAAATCAGCAGTCCGGCATGTCGTCTTACAAAAGATACATTTTGGCAGCGCACAGCCTCTCCAACATTGGCATGATGCATGTCAGCGCGATGTGTCGGGCAGGCGCATGATTACGTTGACCTTTCGTCGATGGGGTGCACTGATGTGGTCTCCTCCTTGTATGGTTTTCACCAGAATATTCTCACTCATTCTCAGCCTTTGGTGATTTGTTTGCACGATACATCTGCTGAATTCTGGGCCAAACGGGGCGCCAAGTCGTGCAATAATCTTAATCATCTATTTTTAATGTAAGCTATAATATGCGACCTTCAAAAACAGTAGACCGCGTTGTTGTTCTGGCTCTTGTCGCGTGCTGTGCCACACTGACCAAATGTTGAATCTTGTGATATGAAATGAACATTCAGCGAAGCTGCTGCCTCTGACCCGTGAACTGCATCAGAACACTTCTGTGACATCTCTCACCATGTGCTAATCAATTTGCCGACAGCTTTGTATGGTAGTGTGCCAATGTCCGCCAATTTTTGCCTTCATTGTCATGACAGAGATGGCGCGAATTTTGAAACCTTGCCCTTCTATCAGGGCACTGCTGCCGGCCCACTGACGCCAGTTTGATCATACCGAATACTGCGAATCTGTGTGTTCTGATGCAGAGCAACTCGGTGGTCAGATTTCGGCAATATCATGTGTTCTCATGGAACAAATCATGAACGCTGCTTTGCTCGGGCGAAATAGGGACTGATGGCCACCTCCTCGCCCTGATATGTAACGTTCCTTGATGATGATGACCAGGATTCGTCATTACGGCGTGATCACCGTGTATTTATGCGTAAAAATATTCTCCATATTTTTATATGTAAAAACGCGCAAAACTGTGTAACTATGGGCCCTGTATACATTGGGCCAGGACATACAGATCCAGGGATTCCGAGGAGTGGCAGCCAGATGCGCTGCAGGGTGCTGAGGACGGCCCTTTGTTTGATGATGATGTCGTTGCCCTTTCCGATGGCGAGGTGGATGCTGCGCTGCGGGTGCTCGAGAGGGCCGCGGGCTGATCAACGTTTGCGACTTCATCATGTTACCTGGCTGCTTCGATGCAAAAACGCGTGAGTATGGCCGCAAGAATAGGCGTTTCTCTGTTTACGTGTGTTCGCGTGTAAAACCGTGAAACCGCAGGAACGGTGCCGTCAACGTAAAGACCAAGCCTGATGGTCACCACGATTGTGAGGCTGAGAGGCTGATGGCGATCACAGCTGGAGCCGCTGCTGTTACGCGACACGCAGGATCCTGGTGCGGTCTCCCACCAATCACATTTGATCATTATCGCCACATGCTCTCAATGCGCTCCATCTTGCGCCCAGGCTGGCGCCGTGTTGGGACCTGCAAACCAGGTGGCGCGCCCCCTGTGGCCAAGGTTCGCGGGGGCCGCCCACCGCCTCGGCGACCGCCTCCCCGCCCAAGCCCCCTCCCTCTCGCTGCCGCCCCCCGGGGGGCCCTGAGGCATGCCGCGGCTGGCACGGCCCGGGGGGAGGGGCGCCGGGCGGCGCATCCGATCGCGTCGGCGCGATGGGAAAAAATTCTTCGCCGGGATCGCGGCGCTGGCCCGAAAGATCGGCTGGACGGGCGTGGGGATGCTGGGACATTCCGTTGGGCGCTTCGCGGCGATATCATTCGGGGATCTGCCCAAGTTTCAATTCCCCACGCCGCTGTGGGTGGTCCTGAGTCCGCCGGGCCACCCGGACAAGAAGCGCCTGATGACGGTGCAGGATTTTTTTAAGTACACGGAGGAGGAAGGTGGGCCGTGAGGATGTGGGATCCGTGGAATATGCAGCGCCAATTTGGGGTGAACGGCCTGTTGCAGTGCGCCTTTCAGGGCTGTTGACGTCCGGGTGGTGGTGGCGAAGTGACGCACCGCTGCGAACGGCGATTGCTGTGCCCGTCCGACGCAGTTTCTGCGGCGTCTCAGCCGGAATTCAGGAGCCCTTTTTCTGTACAGATCGAATCCGCTTTGGGGATGGCGGAGCAGGCTTTGGATGTGCGGATACTTAGGCGCAGCATGCCCCATGGCCATCGTGCGATTCCTGACCTGAATGGCTTTGACACCCCATTGGCGACACTGCACGCCAAATTTCGCGTCCGTGCAGATGATTGCGTGCCACGGTTGCTGCATTCTCTCCAGTCCGGTGAAGACGACTCCTTTGCGTGTGCTGACAGGGGTTAAATTCTTTGAAGAACTCGATCGTGATGGGGACGGCAAGGTCTCTTTGGAAGACATGAAAGTTGCCATGCGAAAGAGGAAACTTCCTGAAATTTACGCCCGAGAGTTTGTGCACCGCGCGAGGGGTGGCAGATGGTGGTCCAAGACAATAGGGTACTGCCACCGCCGAGGCCACATGCAGCTTTGGCCTGATTGGTCTCACAGCAAATTGAGTTTTGTTGGCTTGATTCCCAGCGATGAAGCGATCAGTGCTCAGAAGCTCCCAGTGTGTGTGAGGCCCAATGCGTTGTATCGATCACATATACAGGCCAATTGAGCAGTTGGAATTTGCTCAGCAATTTTTTCAATAGTGAACTGTGGTGGGGGGAGAGTTGACTAGTTTCAAGAGTGAACCATGTAGGAAAACGGCCATCTTTTGTTTCTGACATGTTCCCCAAAAGTCATATTCCCTTTGGAGACACGACCCGTCAAGGTGAAGACTGATCCACCAATTTGCATGCAAGGGACACGAACCTGTGGAGCTGACTCCGCAATGGGGTGTTATCAACCAAAGTGCATGTCACTGGAACGGGAACATCTTCAGCCAATGTTTATTGCGCAGCACAGTGCATGTTCCATAATTGAGAATAACGACCCTCATAACAACCTGTTGGACGTTTCTGTGGTTTCTGCACTTGAAACCGCACTTGCAATTGGAGGCATCCATTTGTTCATGAAGTGTGATGGCATCTTCGTTTTCAGTGCATACACCTGTGGTGACCGTTGTCATGTTTTTGTTGCCCACCAGCTATGACGAGTTCAAAGCTGTGGTGGATGAGCGTGAGTCGGAGATGCTCAGAGCCTTTACACAGCTAACTGTGAATCAAAGAGGGCAAGTAGAGGTTGTGGGAATCAAGGGTGAGGGGCCCTGTTGTCATCGTTGTTGGAATGCCACTGCCTATCCGTAGCGCCACTTTGCCACATCCTAATTGTTGCCTAGACACAGGAAATTAGCAGTGAAAGATGCTGTTGTAAATGGAATGCCAAACATGTGCTGGCTGTCAAGGTGTTCACTTCCTGCACCTTCTCCAGCAGAAGTACGGTACAACTTGCTGTCAGCATTCATGCATCATTAAGCACAACATCACAGCTGGTCATGGACTGACCTGGAGATCAAAAAGTCTGTAGCGTCGTACGTTTGCACAACCGGTGCCACCAGAAATGTGCATGCTGCAAGTTTCGTCCCAAGCCATTTGCTCGTTTTGGACTTGTGATTTTTCGCGCCATTCTATTGTCCTTTGGTAGTGAACTCTGCTTCCCCTTAGGTACAAATGTTCCAGTTGCATGCTGGTAAATGCATTGAACAAATGTTCTTGTCATTTGTGTTCTTTGCCGTGTGCATAGACTTGTTCTTTTCAACAGTATTCATTTGTATGTTGTATATCCTCCGCCGACACTGCACAATCTTTGGGCCAAATGACCATGGATGTGCAGTGCCTGCTTGAACTTCTTGCTGTGGTCAAAAAGCAGCTGTACTGTGGTATCATCACTATGAATGAGAATCTGAGAAAGCTGGAAATATCCCTCTTTGTAATGATATGAAACTTGTCAAGGACATGATTGACCCAATTGCAACGGGCATAAGTAAGCCACCAGTCAACAGCTGTTGTGAATGTGAAACTGCTAGTGATGAAGAAAATGCTGCTTCATGGCTTGTTGATGGAATCTGATGAGCATTCCTGAGACCTGTTGAATGGTCTTGCAACCATTCACATGCACAGATGATGAGGGATTGCAACCATGTCCGAGCCCTTGGATGTATGCCCGTCTCATGTTCTCCTCTGTCTGGCACTGTCTGCATAATGCACGCTTTGGAGGCTGTGTGTAATTTTCTGCAAGCTTATGGCAGTCATTTTGTGAGATGGGAGGCTGCACAGCTGATGGATGACAAATGTTGGCAAAGAGCAATCCTGATCGCCAGTTCCCTTGGTTTGTTGCCTCCAGATTCCCTGAAGAAGCTTGGGCTGTCAGCTACTGATGCAAATGCAAAGGCCATGCTCAGGTGTGTGAGGCATGGACTTGCAGGGCCAGTGCTTGTCACGATTTTCTTGTCTTTCAGTGATCAGGTGGCAACCTGAGCTGATCGTGAACTTGCACATTGCAGCGCTGCTTTGACCCTTGTCTGTTTGTGGCAGCAGCACTCTAACCTTGGCGTGCAGATGTTCTGGAGAAACTGGATTGCAGCTGTGAATTGCTGCCTGGCGGCAAACCTCTCTTGACAGATCATTGTCCCAGATGCAGCATGGTAACAAGGCCTGTGCTTGGTATGTGTCCGTGTGTGCCAGTGCTCTCGTTGCAGACAAGCAATCTTTATTTTGGACATTTGTTACAGTGATGGTTTGATAGTGTCCATGTTGCAAACAGTTTGCTGCTGTTGTGCTCACCTTCTGTGTGATTGGGCAGAGCGATTGGCAGTGAGGACGATGGCTTTGTTTCATATGGCAGTTTTCGAAACTTTGCTATACTGCTTCCCAAGAGCAAACTGAGGGAATCAGTTGATCCAAGCCGTGTGTGGTTTGAGTCAGCCACCATGGTGCCAATTGGTACGTGCAGGGCTAAGGTGGCATTGTTTGCCAAGGTTGTGGAACCTGTATTGGACACGTCAATTATGGGTGGTCATGATTGTGTAGTTTAGTTTTTCTTCAAGAAATTGAGAGGGGCAACGTCCTGAGCAGATGTGATGAGCTGTTGTCAAAAGGTGGAAATTTCCAACCAGGTAGCCAAGTTCTTGTCGATCTAAACATGAACAGAATCTGAATATGTAGGTGGGGATTTTGTGCAACTTCTTCGCTTTCATTTGTTGAAGCGTGACTGGATCTCTGCCCCCGTACCTTTGACGTGGTGACAGCCGAGAGTCTCTGGTCGCCAGGGGGTTTTGGGTAATGATTTTTACAGAAGTGGGTTATGAGGGCTGTCTGGTTTGCTCAGGTCTCCCTGCCCAAGCAGGGGAAAACACCACAAAGATGCTGCTGACTGCAGCTCTGGCTGGTGGAGTTGCGTCGGCAACCTCAACTTTCCTGATGCACCCTGTGGACACCTTAAAGACACGGATTCAGTCTTCGGTTGGCATCTCTGCATTGTCTGTCGTTCGGTCGGTCCCCAACATAGGTGCCAAGGCCCTGTACAGGTGTGTACGTGAGCATCGGAAACATAAACTGGTAACGTCCAAGGCCAGTGGCTTCTTACGTCATCAGCACACCATGATATTGTGTAAGAGCTGACCAAATGGCAGTTGCCTGGGTATGAAGTAGTTACCTTGTTGTGAAGCATTAACCTGAAACGAGCTGATCGGCACTGGTACAAATGTACGCACCTAGATGGAGGATACTTACCTTGTAGCTATTCCTACCTTCAGTACTACAGTACTGCTGCTATTGTACTGCTGCAGTGCAACCAATGAATGACCTTGAATAGTGCAAAAGTACCTATTTGCATACACCTTACTCTAGACTGGTACTGGTAGCATTGGCTCTTGATCCTGTTTGAGTGTGGTTCCATCTGCTGGACTTTGTCAGGGGCTTTATTCCTGCAACTGCTGGGTCAGGTCTCAGCCACGGCGTCAGGATGTGTGCATACGAGGGATGCTTCAAGATCTTGAGCACAGTAACAGGCGGGGCTGCAGAAGTACAGGTGTGTACCCATTGTGGAAAGATCGTGCAAGTGAAGGCTGTCTCCTGGGAGGCTGCCATTGGCATGCTTGAAGACCCTGGGGTTGCCTTGTTCTGCTGTTTCATACACAGACAAGCAGGATTTGCAACGTGCAACTTCATTATATGTAAGTGCACGTCAAATGTGAGGACTTTGTCTCAGGTCTATTCAGAACTGTGAGATTGTGCAAGTATTTAATGGAGGAATGAGTACTTCTGTGTAGCTTAACCAAGAGCCAATCTGTGCTTTCCACAGGGGGGTAACATGATGAACAGTGGCATGCAGATCTTTGCCTGTCTAATATGGTGCTGTTTGGCACAGTTTGTGGCCAGTAGTTGCCCTGGGCAAGGAAAAAATGCAGCGGCATCACTCATGCATCATCCCATGTTTCAGAAACATGCCACAGATTGTGATGTGGCTGGGCAGGCAGCTGACACCATAGGGTAGTTGTCTTTGTGGATTGGCTGCCCCTCTTGGCTTAAACGTCTGTGGTGAATGCTGTCAAGATGATCATCACAACACCCTTGGTTTCTGTTCCTTTGCAGCTCCAGGGCTTGGCCTCGGGTGTGGGCACAATCTTGGGGACAGCGTTTCGAATACCCTGCGAGGTCCTGAAACAGCGGTTGCAAGTTGGGCAGCACACCAATGTTTCCCAAGCTCTGACTTTAGCAGTAAAGGCGGATGGACCCAAGGGGTAAGTGAAATGTGGTTGTCACAACTGAACCCTCGCGAATTTGCTTGTGGGAAGCGCTTGCACCCACGATGGCTCCTTGCCTGGCCGGCTGCAGGTTGACAACATTGTTGGCACGAATGGCATCACTGTATGTGTGGCTGGCGGGGCTGTTCGTGCATGTTCCAAAACTTCCACAATGCCACTCAGACTGCATTTTTGCTGTAGCTGCCAGCTGTGGAAGCCCAAACAGCGAGAGGCAGGGAATCTATGGGGTGTGTTCCCTTTAAATTGCAACACACACTTCTTCCCCTTATGTTTTTGCTTTTGCCTGTGTCCATCCTTTTTCCATCTCTGACATGATTTCAGGTGGACCATACCAGTCTCAGCTTGTGGATGGGGCTTCAGTGTTGTGGACATATGGGTGCTTTCATCCCTTGGTATGAGGCCATTATTCATACTGTTTGAACATGGAGAGAATTTGTTGAGCTGCAACAGCAAATCGTTTCCTATTCAATGTTTTTGTAGCAGGAAACAAGAATACCCCAACAAGAACAGCAATTTACACTCCAAAACATTGCTGCGCAGGCTGTTTCGGGGGACTGGTGCTACGCTTTCTCGAGAGGTGCCATTCTACGTATTTGGGATGGTGTTCTACCAACAGCTGAAGAAACTGTACCGTGGAGAGATGTTTGGTGGCATTGGGAGGGACCTGAAGTCATGGGAGACGCTGATGGTTGGTGCCCTGTCTGGAGCGTTGGGCGCAATCGTCACCACTCCTGCAGACGTCATGAAGACAAGGATCATGACCGCAGCAGCTGGGCAAGAAGTGTCAGTGTCAAAAATACTTATTGATATTTTGAGAGTGGAGGGTTTTGGTGCTCTGTTTAAAGGTGGGCGAATGTGCTGTGGCAAATCTATGTTGATGACTTTTGTTAACATCTGAAATGTCGATGCCCTTGTACGGTGGGGGTGCCCAACATTCAACTGTAGAAGGTTTGCCCTTGTGGCATGAAATCACTAGCTGCTCCCAAGTGCCCACAGGAAAGGAAGAAGAGAAATTCACACCAAAGGAAGGGAAACCAGTTTAGAAAATTCGCAATGTGTCAGTTCCATGGAAACTGCTGTTGCAGTGCGGTTGGTGGACTTTGACTTGAGTAGACTTTTATGTAAAATAGCCTGTGGTACAACCTTAGCTGTGGTGTTGTTCAGTTGAATGTTGTTATTTGGCTGTGTCAACGATGAGAGTGTGAAGGCCTGTGTGCCATGTTTGTGCTGTTGGTCTTGTCCACTGTCATGGACATTGTGTTCTGCTTTGTCAGGCCTTTGCTTTCCCTTCCCGTGTGTGAAAATGTTTGTTTGTGTGGTTGAACTCTGCAGGAGCTCTTCCTAGGGCAATTTGGATCGCCCCACTTGGTGCCATGAACTTTGCTGGCTATGAGCTGGCTAAGAATGCACTGAGTGAAGCTGACAGAAGGGCAAGGAAGGCGGCGGAGCCAGAGCCAGAGCCAGAGCCAGAGATAATAAAGCCCGCTGAACCTGCTATTCTTGATTGGTTCCGAAAACCATCCTGGTGGCCAGAATTGGGACAAAAATCCAGGTTGCTTGAGCAGCCCAAGGTAGGTTGCTTGTTCCTGGGTGATGATTGCTGTGTTGGCGAGGCTATGAGAGTTCACACAATTGCAGCTGCTTTATGTGTACCTTGTGTTGAAGAACAAAGATACGTTGTTGGTCCATTTGTGACTCCCTCTGGGCTGCAAAGATTTAAGGTTGCAAAATTGTACTTCTAAAGAATGTTCGTGTAGAATTAGAAATGTATTCTTGGTGTGGACGGTATGTACTGTGGTAGGTTTGTGTGCCGTGGCTCTGGCTGTGTGTGGGTGGGGTTGGGTTGGAGGGGTGAGTGGGTGGGGGTGGGGGTGGGGTGGGGTGGGGGGCAAGGTAACAGCACGAGCATTTGCATTTGTATACAATGACAACCTCCCAGTTTACAATACTTGACATTTGATTTGTGCTTGCAGGCATTGGCGACTCAGGTCGAGGCAGCTGTTCCTGTTAAAGGAAATGAATATATAAACACAGAGAAAACCAGGCTGCGTGCTCCTGGCAAGTCTCCAAGAGACAATCTTCCGGGTAAATCTCCGCAGCAGCGGTTGTTGCCAAGCCAATCTTCTGGTCAGCTTTCATCAGATCTGAGGGACCAAGTGCATCAGCACCCTGGCAAATCCCCAAGGGACTATCTTCCTGGCAAATCTCCAAGGCAGGCCCTTGCAAACCAAGGAGACCAGCCATACTACCAACCTGGAAAATCTCCAAGGCAACTCGCTCCAAGCAAGTCGTCAAGACAGGTTCAGCCAGAGCAAGGAAGGCAGGTGCCTGCGCTGCCTGGTAAGTCCCCAAGGACCGCACTGCCCGATCCTGGAACCAAGGTGTACCAGCAGCCTGGGAAATCGCCAAGACAGCCCTTGCCTGGGAAGTCCCCAAGACAGCTCCCTCCTATGGCACCTCCTGGAAAATCTCCTAGGCAGTCCCTGCCAGGAAAATCTCCAAGGCAGCTCCCTCCGGTGCAGGCCCCGCCTGGAAAGTCTCCAAGGCAGTCCCTGCCAGGAAAGTCTCCGAGACAGATTCTGCCAGATCAAGGACGACAAGCACACCAATCTGGATTATCCTCTCGACCCCTTACACCAGGGAGGTCACCAAGGCAGTTTGCTCCTGGAAGTCCATCGCCAAGGCCTGAGGCTGGCAAGCCCAAGGTAGGGCCCAGTGGGCTGCCCCCTCGGCCTCCCCATCGGGCAGACAGTGATGCAGTACCTTCCACCAGATCACCACTTGCCACCAAGCAACCTGCTGCTGCTGGCCACGCTGCTTCAAGGCCTCCCAGTCGGCTTGTTTCGACTGACGAAGGCGTGCAGCTCCAAGGGAAGCCTGGGAATGGAGCAGCGCAGCCTGAAGGCAACGGAAGGACGGCCCAGCAGCCCGTGAGGGCTGTGAATGGTGCGGGCACCACTGATATCCAACCCTCAGCCTCAGGGATCGATAGCAAATCGCTAGCTGCCCGTCCTTCACAGCCAAGTCCACGGACAAACGGCGTGGGAGCGAATGGCAGGAATGAATCTTCGCCTGGTGCGGCCCCATTGTAAACAGTTGTCGACGCCTGGCAACACGGAGAGACAGGTTGCAGGGACAGCGAGCCGGTGAAGGCGAATGACTGTGTGGACTTGCACCAGACAACAAGTCCTGGGCAGAGGAAGCCTGTGGCCTGGGGTGTAGTCACAACTTGCTGGAGCTGAAGGTGGCGTCCCCAGTAAAGCCATTCTCCAGGGTGCAGACCTCTGGACATTGCCTATTTGTTGTGGACTGCCTTTGGAAAGACGTGCTGTTGGAGCGAACAAAGCCTGTGCTGTGGCAGCAAGAAGAGAGAGGATTGCATGTAGTGTTAGGAGTATTGGAGAAGCGGTCAGCAAAGCCCTGTCGGCATCTTTTCGCAGCTGCAGGCTTGCAACCCTGGTACCTGGCAGCACACTGGTGTCATAATCATTTGATACGCAATTGACTGTTTCGCGTGTAGGAAATGTTCACTTTTGGGATTTGTACTCTTGATGGCATGGCAGCAATTTTGATGACATGGTGGGCTGTGCATTTTGTACAAAAGACACAGGGGAGAATCGTTGAAGTTGTCGCTTTGAAACACAGGTAGAGATGCACGGTGGCAGTGGTACTGTCCCCTTGGAAGAAGTTGTGGCGTCACCAGGCTGCTGGATGAGGTGTTGCGATTGTCATTCCACCTTATTACTTCATTTCGATTGCTCCATGCCTCCTTGTTGTACTGCAGACATTGCTTCACTCTGGAGCTATCTGCAGCGCGCAACAGTCTCATTTCTGCCTTCCGGTATCTTTGAGCCCAACCCCATGTTCCACACGACGGCATCTTTACATCGATTCCTCCATCCGGTATCCATCACAAGTCCAGTATCCAGCCCGAGGTTCCCAATATTTGTATGTGTGCCTACTCGCTCTCCACAGGACCTCGGTGTCCCTCCTGGGCAAAAGATGTGCCCAAACTGCTCATGCAGGTCGCGGGCGGTGATAGCAGCCCAACAATCTCAACTCCCATTCCATGGCCATATGCTGCACACCGTTGGTCTTGCAGGCACATGTAAGTCACCATTACTGTGTGAGGGATACCACCTGTGTGCTCTCTACCGAAAGGGAATCCATCACACAAGCATCCACCTGTGACATCTCAGCACCGCATCATGCAAGACGACTGCCACTCGATGCCAATGCTCACTCAATATGCAAGCCCGACCCCCAACTCGTGGTCCAACAAGAAGAGAGTATGTCACACTTAGGGCCAGCTATCGATGTGCAGTGATGCCGGGCCCGTCAGAAATAGCACCAAGAACTACCTTGGGTGCAGTTGGTTCCTCCAAGTTTCTAACGGAGGTGCGTTGTCTGATCCTACTCCACGGCCGTGATTAGCGCTCTACAGTGACTGCAGCAACCAGATGGCTGAGCGCATTTGCCAGCTGCCCGGTGCATACACTGCATTGTATACATGCACTGCATTCATTGCATGTGAGCCAAATGGGCGAGCAGCTCTATCATGCAGGGGCGCATTCCGCTCGGGGCAAGAACAAATCAGACTGAGAGCCAATTGGCTACACAGGGCAAGTGCTTGGTTCCCAAGGATGCTCTGAGCCCCAGGTTGCACAGGCGCCTTAACAATCCAATGTCACAAGTAGCACATGAAAAAGATCCATCTGCCATTCACGTCTGCCAATGCCCTTTCTGCAACCTGTGCTCCTCGAGAATCTGCAGGCTGGCGCCCATCTTCTCACTTGCTGGCGTTGTTGCACTGCCGCCCCAGCTGGCCCTGGCGAATCGACAGCCACTCGCACGGCTTCCTTGCGATCCTCCACTACAGGGATTGCTGTACCTGGTATGCCCCAGGTCAAAGGGCTGGACGGGGGCCCCTTCATCGACCTTCATGCCTTCAACATGCATTGGATTCTTGTAATGCAGTGGGGACGTCATGTACCTCCGCACCTGTCCCCACGTGTGCTTCGTTGGTTGCAATCGTGCAGCCAGCGCGAGGGTTTCGCTGGATTTCCCAATGTCCAATCCATGAGCCCCATGCCATGCTTGTTGCTTGCCGTATAACAGTTTACGGCGACGTTCAATGTACCGTACTTCGGTGCAGTACGATATGGGTTTGGGGCTCCGCTGAAAATCAGTCGCTGTGACTTCAAAGTGCTTCAAAGTACATGAACCAGCTCCAAAACAATTAGAATGAATCATCGGAGTACTTGATATCGTAATTCCCTTGTCGTCTACAATTTGCTATTAAAAGCTCATTTCGCTTCAAGGATTACTAGTTGAAATATGGGCATTGCTCTTGCCGAAATGCATACTTTGCCTTATTACAATAGGGCGCAGTATGGTGCACAGCAATGGGCAGTATCAAATAGAATTTGCGCAGTACGGTACAGTGAACGATTTGAAGGAAGGAACAATCATGCCTATCGCCTCCACCAGCCTCCCATGCCAGGCCTTTGTGCCACAGTATCGCGATCATTGCTTGGATTCAAGGCAAAAAAAATCGAACAAGACCGCCTCTCTTCAAAGGAAGCTGTTGTGTCCATCGACCACCTTCTCAACCTGGTCAGAGGCTCCTGTTGTCACACAATCTGCAGGAATACTCCTGCCTTTGGCATTCTGTCATGGCGAGGAGGCTTGAGACATGTTCAGTTCCAACATGATCCTCAGACCCGATCTCTGGGCCCCCAAGAAGACATCCCACCAACAACGCTACCGCCAGATATCTAATTGCTTCCATGTCCTCGCAACACATTCCTCCCAGCGTGCCAATACATGCGCCGTACCTGGTATTGCTCGTCCCGTCCCTTCGTCGTGCGAATGGTGAGGACAGCCGTTTTTTGCCACGTGTAGGGAAGCTCCTCTAAAGGCACCACGGTGCCAGTCGCGCTGCTGGACCAGAGCCGTGCGGCAGGGAGCTCGCAGAAGGCCATCAAGAATCGCCAACGGCGCCATGGTTCAAATCGCAGAGGCTGTACATTGGTCACCAAGGACAAGCACTGTGCTTGCTCAATGTATTCAGTCTCACCAGAGCGGTTGATTTAGTCTCGCTCTCGTTGCACGTCGTGCCCCTCGATCGGTTGTTCCAAGAAACACTGCCATGGCGTCTCCCTGGGGCCCCTGCTTCCGTCTCAAGCACACGACCGGCACAATTTGCCGAAGCTCTGGCAGCGTTTCCACAGTATTCCAGCTGCAGACATCCTTCTTTTCATCAAATTTTCGCCTTTTCTCTTCAGCTAACTGCCCTAACATGAACAACGATGCTGCAATCATCATCATTCATTTCTACACTGCAAGGCAATGAGTGATGCTACAATCACTCTTGAGGTATCGTGGCAACAATGCACTTCACAGGCATCCGCATGCTGCAGTTGCAGGAATTCCCACAACGCAGTTTCCCCTTTGTGTACGACTGTTGTGGTGGCAGCCCCCCCCGTGACATCATCCCCAATTTGCGCACAGGCCGGCTGGGTCCAAACGCACAAATGCCCCACAATCACGCCCATCATCCGCCAAACGGGCCACACGACAATGACCCCCTCCCGTACAGCACAGAACATTGCGCAAGGTGGTGGAAGGGCACATTGGATTCCCGAGCGGAACAGCGGGTGGGGCCGCCCGGAAGCCAGACCGCATCACCGACCGCCGAAGCCGTGCCCCCGCCTTCGGCGCGCCGTGGCCGAGGCCGAACCAGGGAACGCCTCACGGCGGCGGCAGGCCGCGGCAGTCGCACTCGAGAAGCGCCGTTGGGGGCGCCCAGGCCGGGGCTCCAGGCGATCTGCGCCCAGGGCCTGGGACGCCTTGCTGCCAGGGCCCCGCGTGCCGCGCGGGCAGATGCGGATCGACGGAGCGGCGGCGGCACGGTGAGGCAGGGGGGCGGGGGGATGGGGGGGGGGGACGCGGGAGGGGCGGCCGCCTTGGCGGGCTGGAGCCCGCGGCGCTGGTCCATGTTTTGGCGCCCGATGGGGTGGTGGCAGTTTCGTGGGGGGGTCAGGCGGGGGTGTTCCTTGCTGCCGCGCCTCCCGCGCCGCGATGCGGCGTTGGCGCGCCCAGCGCGCGGCCGGCTCGCTGGGGATATTGTTTCGCTGGGGCTCGCGGTTGATGTGGGGAGTTGGCAAACGGCCTGTTGATGTGTGGCTGCCCGAATCAGGTTCCGCTCCAGGCCTTGGCCACGGAGAGTCATAGCTTCCTCACGGAAAACGGCGAGATTTGCTGCGCATGTTGTCTGTTGGAGGTGTTGATGCCTGCAAGTGTTCGTCTCCCGCCCAACTCTGATAACATGTCCTCCAATAGGCTGAGTTCCTTGCACCGAGGATATGTTGAATTTGGAGACGCTCCCTGTCAAAGATGTAGCGGATCGAATTGAGAAGCATATGTGCAGAGTGACGTATAAGTCAATGGGGTGAATGAGCCCAACATGCTTGCTATTTCTTGCTCTTGGTGGGCTTGTTTCGTTGGCCGCGACTGGCCGCTCCTCATACTGCTTTCCGCAGTCGTGTGCGTTTGGAAGCTGGTGTTACAAACATTGTGGGATCTGCAGAAGCGGGAAGGGTGGGTTTGAGTTGGTGGAGGGAATTGCTGAAGCTCAGCCGCTGGCAATTCTTTATGCACCTGCGCGTTCTTGGCTCAGGCTGTTGGTTTCTGTGCAGACAGTAAGAGGACCCTCCGGAAGCATTCTAGGATGCCGGCACCCACGACGCAGGCGTTGAATCTGTCGGCTCTCGACAGCATGGTTGCTGTGTACATGGCCAGTGAGGCCCTCACAGAGGTGCGTTGGGGTCTTGATCAGGAGAGGGCGCCCACTGTACGAACTGTGTTGTGGATTGGGTAAATGGGACATGAAAAGTGCTGTTGGCATTGTTGGTTTTGCCACACTGCGTTCAGGTGTCTGGTCATCAGTGGAAAGATTTCCCCTGTAACGGCTGGTAGTTGGTCAACCAACAACTGTGCGGAACATGCATGTACCTTTGTTTGTTTGGGTTCATTGTGCAGCAAGCAGGCTCTGTGGAATAGTGCATCCAGCCCAGGAGTTAGTTCGACACATCGCCAAGCGTCAGAACCAAGAATCCAGGTGGTGTTGTTGTGCCTGCCACCTTACATTTTCCTTTCATGGGGTGCAGGACCCAGGCCCCTCTGAAGGCAACCAAGCTGAACTCAAGCGCAAGTGCGAGGCAGTCCGAAGGAGCGTCTTGGAGGGTGGAATTGACGAAACAACAAAATTAATTGAGGATGTCAATGGCAGCATCCTGCAGGTAGGGCAGCCGCAGTGTCGTTAATGTAGCTGGTGGGCAGTAGACACTGGCATTTGAGCTCATGTTGTCAATCAGATTGAACAGTTATTCAATCAGCCAATAATCTTATGCCTGCTGATGTTTCTGCATTCTGAACTCTCGACCCCTGAAGGGGACGTGCACTGTCCACGTCAAGATTGAAGCCACTGCAGCTCAGGGTTCCTGATCGTGGGTTTGCACTTGGTACGTGTGAAAATTCATTATTTCCAGTGGACATGTCACACTGCATTCTCCATGGCAAGGATGTTGTTGGAGTGCTGCCGGCAAACATAGATCACCTTCAGGACGCCCTTTCTTATTTTAATTGCATCGGAGCGGGGCACGAGTGACTGAGAGAGATCTGACATTTGATTTTGTGAATTGACACATAGATGTTCTTTGTTATGTGAAACAAAGGTGCTACGATGCTTTTGTTAGGCCTTTCCACCAGTGCTGTGCTTTTGTGCTCAGTACTGACGATTCCACCACACATGGCAGCCAGATGCACCTGCTCTCCTGTGTATTGTGCAGAAATGTGACAACTTTCTGTATTCATTTGGCCCCAAACTGTACTGCAGTGCACAACCTTCCCCTTGCCTATTTGCCATGTTTCGCATGGATGATAAAGGTAGTTTCTTGCAGGATTTGCGACTCTTGTTCCGGCTGAAAAAGCAGAAGCTGGTTGAGCTCCTACGAAAGGGTGGTGTTAAAGGTGACAAGGAAGCACTAGGTAAGTATGCAGGATGGGTTGATCAGAGGAAATGCTTCTGGATGCTGTCTGTGTTATGTGACAGCAGTGAAATGCAGGCTGTGCTCGTAGATCTTTTGGAAAACCGTGTTTGCCATGTGTGCTGTCTATGAGTGTTGCGCACCCACTGCCGTATCTGTGCCTTGAGAGTGGCCATGGATGTGCGATGTTCGTAGTCGGAATGTACGAAATATCAACTGAGACCAGGAATTGTTGATCAGCCATTTATTGTTGTCATGTGTTGGGCACTCCTGCTCTCAATGCCCTCCAAGGGAACCATCGACAAATGCCTTTCAGTTTAAGTGCTTGTGACTGGCATGTGCCCTTGTAACTGTCTCATCAGGTTGGATCAGGACAGAACTGGCACCCTTGGCCCTAAACGCATACCCGGAAGCTTATCTCGAGTTCAAGAAGAGCTTGCTGCTTCTAGTCTATGGTGAGGGACTTGACAGCAGCCCTGTGAAGGAGGATTGGTCATCACAAGCCAGGACCACCTTGGCCAATCTTGTTTACATCACACTGCGACAAGTCACAGGTGTGGTACTGCTACCCAAGTCCCTGTCCATTGCTTGCAGTTGCAACATTGACAGCCTTCACCACCAAACTTGTGGAAGAGTGCTCCCATTGTGGAAGCCCACCAGTTTCAGTGGCTGCTTCAAGTCAGTGGTTGTGTGTGCTTCATGGAAGCAGCTCTCATAGCAGACTGCACAGCAGACTGTACATTATTGCAATCCCACACTCCAGTGGGGATCCTTGTTTCTGACAGCACTTGGGAACGTCTCGGAAGCTGCCTCTGTGTTACACTCCCATTCTTTTCCAGGGGATGCTGTTAAAGCAGCTGCCGCCCTGGGAACCGAGGCTGCAGTAAGCTCTTTAGGCTGGTGCTTGCTTTCTTTTGTCTCTGATAGATTCACCTGCTACTCTCACAGGCCTGAAGGACCCTCTCCTGTTGATGCTTCTTAAATACCTGCTGTTCATACATGAACAATATTACTCTGACCAGTCTGACACATCACCTGAGGCTGAGCTGGTGGAGGAGCTCAGCTGCTCGGAACGCTACCCTGCACCCCTCCCAAGAGAAAACTATGCTGGCGGATCGTTTCCAGCAAAAGATGTTCAGGTGACGGTTGTCCCTATTTATGCTTTGTTGTGAGCATGATTCACAGCGTGGGGTCCACTTTGAGCCCATGCTTTGTTCCTGTGCACTCTTTTCTTAATGCACAGCATGGCAATTGATAGTTTTGGCATGCAGCTGTTCTTAATGTCTTTTTAAGGCTGGCTTCCTTTGTGCTGCACTTGTCCACGTGGCCACATAAGGGCCAAGAGAAGTTGAGAATTACTGTCAACGGATGCTGTATCTGTCGCTCTATGTGCTATTCGTCACCTTCCATTGCAGGGAAATTCATGTTGTCTCCCAACCTATTGTGCCCCGTATGGAGCAGCACATGGTAATCATCACGTCTTTGTGTCAATTGCCAATCTGCCCCAAGGGGCATGCATGTCCGTATGTACGTTTGTATGTATAGAGCGTAAATTGGCACAGGAATGGATGCTGCAGTGCGTAGATGTTTCGTACATGCAGAAGGCATTTGTTGCTTCCAGTTTGTTGAGGTGTCGAACGCAAGAGCTTCATGGTGCTGTGTCAGGCTATTGTTGGGGCTGTCGGCATACCGCAACATGACGCAGAGGAGAGTCTGAAGCATGCTGACAGCGATATTTCTACAGCTTTCGAGAATGAGTTGGCAAGGATTCAACTGAACAGGAAAAAGCTTCACGAACTTGTTCTGGAATACGCTGGGTACAGGTAATGTTCCATGCTTCAGGGAGTGACAGAAGGGTGATCTTTCAGTTTGGATACAGCAATCCTGTGTCAGGCTACTTGGTACATTGCTGATATGTGGCAAGAACATAGCGCCCATCCTCACCTAATGGATGCAATGGCAGGAATGTCCGCACTTTGATAAGTGCAGGTATGTTAGAATTGCGTAGCAGCTTCCAGATTGGTGGCAAAGAGAGAGTGGTGAAAAGATGCCCTTGCTACTTGCAGGGGTCTTTTGCGCATTCCAGAATGTGATGAAGGAGATGGGCTCACCAGCATGGAAAGGAATGAAGCATCAGAGGGTGAAATTTCTGTACCAAAAGTGCAAGAAGTTGATCTTGGTGACGCAGCCGATTTAATGGACACAGATGAGGGGGCACCAAAGCAGGTGGACGATGAACAGACACAGGTAAAACAGGTAGTCGTTGTTGGCCGATGAGGACCTTGAGTTTTTGGTTCCCTGTTGGCATTTCATCGCACTCCTATGTTCTCCCTTCTTTTGGAGGCTGCATAAGTCATCTTGTACCAGCATTTGAGGCCGAGATGTGGACATTCAGACTCAACTTCTCAATGGCAGTCACAAGTTGGTTTTGTGGCCGGAGCACACATGAAAGGAAGGATAACCAGGGTAGAAATCTGTCATGGTTAGACATTTGCTTACTGTGCAGGGATGTCTCGAATGGGGCGTTCGGAATGCAGCTGGTGTCCTGAACAGTTGTGTGAAGTAAACATCTGTGGCATGGACTGTGCTTCCTGCATAGGCTGCCTGCCGGTTTGCACTGCGCATCCCGCACAAACTGGTTGACACATTGAGACATTGTTGCTTCCCTGCAACAGGTATAATTTCCAGGCATCAATGAGCTTGCACAGGTGGCAGACCTGAAATTTTCATTCTTGTGTGCACAATTCTTGATCAATTGAAGGTTGGCTGAATGGCGCTGGGATGTACTTTTGATTGACTCAGGGTGTGCCCCATCTTTCGGGTAAAGATGTTGACCTCCCTTCCGCATCCCATTCTGAGTCTGCACAAGCCAAGGGTGCAGGTTCCAAACCTACCCAGCCCCTCGCAAGATGTGGCAGCCACCAGCGGTCAGCACAACGCGCTCAGGAAGACAACCCAGAGGTGAGCTTTCGATGGAATATGGGCCACAGCTACAAAATATGCAGACCAATTTACAAGCGAAGTGTGTTGTGAGTGTACCAAGATGGTGGTGCATCATCCCATTGACTATTGGTTGTGCACTGTGCCTTGAATTGGTGATGCCATGGCAAATGGGATGGGGATTTCGACAGCAGTATGGTGCTGTGCCATTGGAGAGTGGCTACCCCTCATTTCCTGTGTGTTTTGCTTGTAGGGAATGGTCACTACGATGGAGCGCCAGCCAGAGCAAGAGGTGGAGTCTCAGCCGACCTCTAGATCACAGTCACAAAGCCCACCCAAGAAGATTTTGAAGACACACCAGAGACAGTCACCAGTGTCCTCTCGAACAGAAGCCTCTCCTGTCTTGGTTCAGGCTTCAGATGCAGATGACGAATCGAATGGCGGAGTCCCCAAAGGCAATGAATCTTCATGTCCTGTGAAGTTCAAGTGCGACCCCAAACTTGCCCTCATACTGCGTTTGTTGCGGATGGTGAAGGAGGGGCAGTACCTGGCTGCCATGGACAAGATTTCTGAGATTGATGGGAAACTGTTTGAGAATCATCCGGACATCCTGTTTGAGCTGTGGCGCTTTGAGGTGCTGAGGATAGCAGGCACCGGGGCTCACGATGCAGCACTTGAGATCGTGCGAAAGAAGTTGACGCCTCTGCTGCGCAAAGGGTGCCAAGCAGATCTCTTTCCAATGTTGCAGGTGGGCCACTCCTCAATGTGTTGAGCCGAGACGAAGTCAGTTCAACAGTGGCTCACAGTACGGGAGGATATATCATGTATGCAGTATGTGAGCAGTTGGCATGCGTGCCCAGCAAGGAATGGCTGACATGCAGGGGTACCTGGCTTAAGTTACCAACCTTCCTGCTCATTGTTGCTCTCTCCTGTTTTCCAACATGGTCTCGTGTTGGAGGTTGACAGAAGCTGGCCGACTGGCAATGAACAGATCCAAAGGGCACACACAGAGAATCTCCTTGTTCAATTGGCTTATGCCTTGATGTTATCCAGTCACTAGAACAAGCCTTGCTCTTCTTCACATGGGACTGTTGTTGCTGTCTCAGACAGTGTGTCTGTGTATGGTTATGCCCAGGACACTCTGAAATCGATAATGTCTTCAAATCACGAGCTTCCATCAACTGCAAGGCTGTGCTCATTGCTGCAGACTGCACTTCAAGAGTCTCTTGGTTTGCCAGGACCAGCACTAGCTCGTCTCTTGAAGGTCAGGATTGGAGTCTGCTCCATGGGTCTGAAGCAGAGGGAGGGCACTGGACGTTTGTTGATTGTGTGCGACCTTAGAAGCACTGTTTTTTGTGGAGGCTGTGGCAGTAGGCTGGTGTGTTTTGGGCTGTGAGAGTTTTGCATGGAAGCAACCTCGCCAGCTCTTCCAAGTGGGGATTCTCAAGCTGTGTATTGTGTTGCAGTGTCGAAAATGACGTAGTGTTGAAGGAATGTGGTGGTAACGAATCTGGTGACTGTATTTACATGTGCGGTGTTGGGGTTGTGGACATAGTTTGATTGAAAATGTTGCCCCAGCAGAGCGTCCCCCTGCAGATGCTGCAAGCGTGGCCACTCGTGATGTTTTGTGGGTTACTGTTTGTCACGGACGTCCAAACTGCAAAGCCAATTTTGCCGTTGCACCTCAGCGGGCAGTGCAGTGATGCTTCTGTTGTTGATGAATTGCTTGTGATCTAAGTGTTGTGTGTTATTTCGCCATGTTGAGTTGTCAGCAACAGTTGCGGCAGCAGCTTGTGTGAACTCTTGCAATGTTGACCATTTTTGCCATGCATCTTTAGGCCCTCCTGCTGGCGCACTTGCGCTGGTTCAGAAAGCAGCGCTGCCAGGACGTGTTCCAGAAGCTTCTCGCCATCGACGTCCTGCGGCAGTGCGAGAGCACACCAGTGCCTGCACCCTGCGGCACTGCCACCCTTCTGTCCCAGGAAGATGGTGGGGCTGCGAGGCCAGAGGTGGAGGAAGGCCGGACTGAAGGTTGGGCTCGTCTTCTACTCACGGCTGTTGCGTTGTGCTCTTTTCCAGTCATCGTGTGTGGGGTGTTCGCGCTGGGGGGCACTGTCATGATCATGGATAGGGTGATAGTGTTTGTGGGGCGCGGGGGGCAGACGGTGTGGAAGTGGGCACTCTGGGTGTGCTGTGCAACAACCCTGCCGATGGTCGAGGGTGGTGAGTCACCGCCCCGCTCCGGACTGTTCAGAATCTTCTTCTGATTGGCCTGTAGATATGCTGCCACCCAGGACTTGTATGCACAGAGGGGAGAGGCAAGGCAGAGGCTGGGCCCATCTCTCTGGCCCTCAGAAACAAGCAGCACAGGAAACACAATGCCACACCTCCCTACAGTGTTGAGCATCCTTGTCCACAGATTTCTGACTATTGTCTGCCCAAAGCGGAAGCCGTCAAGGAACGTCTTGTTCAGCCATCCCATAGCGATGGGTGACATGTTTTACTTTTGTGAAATCCCATATGTCTCCCATTTATGCATATTTGTCATAATGCAAAATTTGCTGCCAATTAAAAGGAAATATATAGACTAAAAAGCCCCCTACCCCCTCCCCACCACCCACCACCCCCACCCCCACCCCCATCCCCAGCCCACAATCTAGTAACGTTGTCTGACCATCATTGCTTGCAGGCTTTCGATAACAGCCATCCCTTGACATTTCCAAACTTCAGAGCCTCTTGGGCTTCCCTGAAACCATGCCTGTGCACAAACAGGCAGTTCGCTGTCCACAGCCTGTGTGCAATTTGCTGTCCAACGTGTGGCTGGATCCCGCAAGCACCAACAATAGCAGCATCACCGCTGATAGAGCAATGTTGGATGGTCGCCACGTTGGCACAGTGCCTGGCATCGTGTGTATTTGTGTCCTCCTGTTCGCTGGCCCGGGATGCTTCCTTTAATTCATGTATCTTCATGCCGAGGATTGGCAATCGATCGCCAGGTATTCAACTGTTGGTGTATGGCTCCCCAAGAGCAGGTTCAGTTGAAAGTTTTGCACCCTGTGCAGTGCTGCTTCGCGGTCTTTTGCAAGGTTGTTGCACAAAGCACTGGGAAGTTGATAAGTGGCCAGGTATTTTGTAACGCTGTCAAGGTGATGTAGTGACAGTAAGGAAACATAGCAGAGCATCGCTCGGCGTACATTGGCTTGTAGGGCACAGAAAGTGGGACACACGAGCGATGCGTTTTGCAAACATTGTGCTGAGGCGCGCATCTGGTATTTTTAGTCTGTGTGCCATGCATGGTTTGGTGATGAGCAAGCTCATGTAGAATGCCAGCTTGCATGTTTCCTACTGTCTTTGCCTGTTGTGCTCCTTTGTGGAAGCCCCACTCACCTCACATCATACCACACAATGTCACTTTTTCCCCCTGCTGGAGAGAATCCCTTCGAAAAATTGGGTGCAAAGCGTCCAACTCCCATGAAACACGAACTTGTTTTTTGATTCTAGGCGTAGTGCACAATTCCCTTTGCTTTGTTTGCTTGTGGCCCATATACGACGATCAGTTGTGAAGATATCTGGGTGTATCAAAAATGTAAAGAAACGATGGCTTGTGTTGAGCTGGACGTTGCGTTTGTCTTGGTACATGTGTTGCTTGGGGCACGATTTGGTATGCTTCTCATTTTCCTAGAAAGGCTCCTATTCGGTGACCACAGTGGTACCCAAACATTTATCTGCCATTTGTATTGCGAACGAACCGTAGTGTCTCACTTTATTGTCAAAGATATGGAGCATGTTCAGTTTGCTGTCTTATCTGCTGGAATGCTGGCAGGGGTTGTTATTTTGAAAAAAAATCTGAAGAAAATCACGATTTTTGTGCATGACTTTACTGAATGTATCAATCAACAGGGTGCTGACTTTCATGCAAATGCTCTTGAAGCCCCCAAAGGGCCAGAGAGTTGTTTTCTTCCTCACTGTATGTATGTATCCATGGGCACATGCTCCCATGAGAACTTCTCAAGCAAAGAAGACTGTGGAGCGGGATAGGGTGGAGTTGAGTGGCGGTGATGTCTTAGTAGTGTTGTATGACTATAACATGGCTGCGCAGTGTGGTTGGACATTGGACACCACTGCCAACCTTTTGCTGTTCATTCTGCTGGTACACACTTCAAAACGTGCTGTGCAGGCACGAGTCGCACCACAGGGTCCAGGCTCTATCACTGCCCTCACTTTCTACATGGTTTGCACAAAGAACAGTCCAAGTGCCACTCGTCATTGAGCTGGTCACTCAAGCACTCCACTATGGGAGATGCTGGTTGGGTTGTTGACACGATGGAAGTCCTGATGTTCAGTGCCTTGGCTGCCGCGCAGGTTCCCATGATGAGCCCCCACCTTTGGAAGCTGAGATAGAAGACAGCTTGGGGAGTGACTGGGGTGGCGAGGACAGCGACATGGACAGCATGGATGAAGACGGAATCGTTCAGGTGATGGAGGTCTTGGCACTGCCGCGGACAGCGGCTATTGACCTGCTAATGCAGCATGATGGAAACGCTGAAGCGGCCATCTTGAATGTCCTGAATGACTGAGGCAGTGCCATGCAAATTGGCTGGGTCTCATTGCGATGGGATTGTAGGTGCAATGGACGGTACAGTGGGAGGGGAGGGGCTGCAGTGGTATGGCGACTGGGGATGGAATACCTGTGTACTTTTTGCGAGTGTTAGATGGCAGCAGTGTCTTGCCTTTGGTTTAACGGCGCCCTTTGAGATCGGGGTCAATAAAGCAGTGCATGGATCCCGCTGGTCCCACCGTGCGGACAGACTTGCGTCAGTGTACCGTGCTTAACTTGACTGATTCTCTAGCGAGAAACTGCACAGTTGGGCATCGAATAATTCAGTCCAGAAATTATGTGCTGCCGTTTATCTAAAGGGATGGCAGCGGCGAGCAACTTCCTGGGCAAGGGCAGCGGCAGCATATCATGTGTGCTGTCTCCAGCTGGAAGGGGGTTGCCATGACCTTGCTGCTCTCTGTCCTGTTCTGCTGTTCTGCAGCTGTCGTCACATGTGCAAGTAGAGCACAGGCAATGCATGAAGCCTTCCCTATTTCGGCGTTCCTTCACCAGTAACCGAACTAGCAGCTTCTTGGCACCCATACTTTCTGCCCAAGCCGGCACCACATTTGTGTGGTAGCTCGAAGCGAACTGTTGGAAACTCTTACTGGCCCCCTTCACACAACGAAGAGGGGCGCGCACTTTGCACATGCGAAACATCAATGCATGCACAGTCTTTTTGAGGTGTCAAGGGGACACCAGCACTGGTGTCGTTTGCCTCCGTGCGAGAGGCAGGGCGACAGACGAATGTGTGAATGGTGGCCAGGCTCGTCGTGCAACATCTGCAGATCGCAGTGCGGCACTGAGCCTCTACAACGTGGAATGGAAAGGTTCGAGCAGCAGCGAACGGCGTTTTTGCTGGCTCGTTGACACTCTGCACACCTTTGACTGTATGGGGCGAAAAACCAGGGGGCAGCGGATGGTACATGGGATGTGAACGAACAAACTGAGAAGATAAAAATGAAGTGTCAGAAGTGCCTAGGCAGAGACAGGATGGAACTGTCATGACGCTCCCTCCCAATTCTTGATCCACTCAGTTGAATCCTGCCATGGAGAACAATGTGCTTCTTCATCTGCTGATGTATAGTTTTCTCGCATCACGTTCTGCTGGAGCCAAGGACTGTGCACAGCTGGCAACCGTTTGGTACCTGATGCTGGTGCAACCGTTTGGTACCTGATGCTGGTACAACCTCAGCCTGGCGGTGAGCCTTCACCACCTCAGCATGGGCTCCAGCACACCCCAACGCAGGGAGGAAAGTCGCGGCAACGCAGCCACCTGCGCCACTTTGGCACTCGTGACTCCCCTGCAGTTCACCAGGTCAAGTTCCCCAAGCTGCGTCAGCGTTTTGAGACATTCTAGGCCAGCATCGCTGACACCAGCGCAGCAGCTCAAATTCAAATGTGTGAGGGATGTAAGCGTGGCAAGGGAGGCCAGGCCCCTGTCGGATATTCTCCAGCACCTCTCCAAGTTCAGGTGGCTCAGTGACGTGAGCCCCGCAAGATGCTTCAGGCCTCCGCATGTTATCCTCCAGCACGCCATCAAGTTGAGGTGCCTCAGGGAGGTCACACACGCCACCCACCTCAACCCGCTGTCCGTCAATTCGTCGCACCACGAGATGTCAAGTTTGGTGAGCACAGGCGCTCTCCTCAGGCCCGCCAGTGCATGGTTGTGTATCCCACGCAGCCTCAATTCCGTGGCGTTTGGAAAGCGCCAGCGTAGCAGAGGGTACAGGGTCCCGCAGGAGATGCCGGGTGCAGGCTGGAGCGACACTACACAGGCATTGGTTGCCTGGTGCCAGTGGTGGCACACGAGCCCAACACACTCGAGGGCCGCTGGCCGGCGAGACGTGGAGTTTGCCAGGCAGGCGAAGATACTCTGGAGCAGCTCGACAGACAGACCGCCCCATCCGCCCACGTTGCTCCTCCTTCCGCACTCCTGGGCCACCCAAAGCTGTCTCTGAGAGAAAATTCGGCCGTTGTACAGGGAGGACGTCACATGCGCGCGAAACAGAGCTGAGTGCTGCATTGTCGCCCCAACCAACTAAGATGTGCCTCGAATCCCCATGCACGTACGGCGTGGCCAAAACCGGGGGCTGATAGCCGACCCACCCCACCCTCCTTCTTGCCTTTACGTACAGAGTATTTGTAAGTTGACAGCTGCATTGCAGGAATCTATGGAAATGACAGAAGTGGTAAAAAAAGGTCCGTCCTGGAACCTGGTTCAGCTGTGGTAACGCAGTCGTCTCCCCATCCAGAGTGTGCCCCCCCTTGGCGACGGTCTTACTGTCTGGCAGTAGGTCCCCCTGCGCGGGCGCTACTGTAAAGACGTGCACCCCCCAGCTCCGTTGTGAATCGCGCAGGCTGTGACAATGTTCGCGACGCACAATGACAGCACCATACCGGCAACGTTTCCGGTTCCTTGATGCCAGTGCACCGAATTGGGCACTTCACTCGAGGGCGATGGCAGCAGTGCTGCCGTGGCCCTCAAGTGTAGCGCCCAACTTGGTGCACTGGCATGGCTGTGATGTGCTGTCACAGCACATCCCAAGACCCAATTGATCACGAGTTGCCTCACCTCAACCTCTCGCGCAGGCCTTGCCAGGAGCCTTTCAGGCACCTGGCCGGCGCCGCTCAAAAGACGAACAACTCCATCCAGCGCTTCACTCTCTCCCTCCAGCCTCCCATACCGTTTCTGTGCCTCGTTTCTCTTCAAATTTTTCTCACGCACGGCGCGTACCCGAAAAATGCGAAGGCAGCCCTGTACACCACAAGCGTTTCATGCAGAAGAAGGCAATACACCGCCCACAATCGGACTCCCTGTCAGGAGGGGACCTCAGTGGCAATTCGCAGGTCCTCAAGATCGGCCGCAGCGGCGACCGGCCCAAAGATTTGGCTGACGGGCCAGCGCTGGTCCCATGGCCGCCGGGTATCCATCCACGGAGGAATCCAGACCTAGCGACAGTTTGCCTTTTGCGCCGGGACGGGGGCTGTGTAACAGTAATGCTGTGGCAGACCTGTTGCTCTGCTGACCCGCCCAGCCCTATGAAAATATGAATGGGGAGCACCCTGCCCCCTTTCGATGAGGCTGGATACCCTGCGGGACCTCAAGGCACTGCGTCCGGACGCCATTGCCTGGTGTTTTCGACGTCCAAGCTCGATTTGCGTCTTGTGTCCACGGCCGACCAGAGGAGCGACTGCTTCTCCAGATCCGGGGCTGTGCCGCCCTTGGCAGCAGACCCACGACTTGCATGACATTTCTTCCTGCTGTCCGGTAGCTACCACCTGGTCAACGCGCAGAACGACCGACACTGTTGGGGTGTGCGCATGCCTGTGGCACAGCTTCCCTGTCTGTTGCTCGGGATCGCGTGATCCCAAAGGGAAAATTGTGGGGCACACTCTCTTTGTACCTCTACCCTTCAGGAAATAGCTGTCGTTCAATCAGTACGAAATCCAGCATTTGTCGGTAAGGAAGCCACTTGCAATTGGATGCGGGGCGTACTTCCCGCACCAGGAATGATCTCATGTGGTGGGATTGCAGTTGGTGATGTACTTTCCTGCTGTCGCTGTGGAGCCCTCTTTCAACCGCGATCATCTCGCGCCTCATTTCATCCCCACATCAATTGTAGCGGTTAGTAATTCCCCTTGTCGCTTTAGTTAGATTGTTTTGTTGCGCTCACTATACCAAACCCCTAGCGGACTGGCGGCATTTGCTGTTGCCATCAACCAGATGGCGCCATACCACCGACGAGGAGATTTTTAAGAGGCACTGCAGTTCTAGATGAGATGGGTGCTCCCTGCTGGCGGCTGCAGAGGATGGCGGGTCAGACCCAGACTGCGAGACTGCCGCCACAGGTTGCCCGTTGCATCCCTGTTGCAAATCAGATGCCGCCATGTCCAGCAACAGTGTGGTGACAAGTGAGGCAGCAAAGTACCACACTGCCGCGCACCCACCGAATTCTCTCTGATCATTTTCTCTCGCTGTGAATAATACCTGCAACATGTCACAGTCACATCTCCCGGCAAAAATAACGTACCGCAACACATCACCGGAGTCTATTGCACGTGCAGCACACCTGTGTCCACCCACGTTGATTGCACACCCCTTTTGCTCTTGCATCGTCCATACCCCTTCACACTACACAGATTCGCGCAAAGCTCGGCGACGCCCACTTGCCCAAATAAATCCCCGTCTCATGTGCCAAACTGCAACTCGTCTACATCCCTCGAACCTACCACAGCGCACCCCCCCACAAGACGGCCAAACTGCGCAGGCAGATGTAGTCACGAATGAGTCGCTGGTGCCCACGTTGCCAAGCATTATAGCAAGCAGACTCAGCATGCGAACAGGGCACTGTGTGTGACCTGGTGGTCACTGGCCAAGTAGCCAGCAGCACTCCCTGCAACGTGATGTACTTGCAACAGAAACCTCACTTTCCTAGCCCATGAACGACGCAGCTGTGAAGCCACGTCGATCCACCTGTGCAGGTTCATCGTCATCAGAGGAGCTGTAGTCCTGGTAGGCTTCTCTCCTCGTCGAGTGCCGCCTGGCTGCAGAGCATCTCCTCTGGCCTTCAAACCCGAAAGCCCCAGCGGCAACGGCAACAAACGCAACGATGACCCAAAAATTTCGAGCAAATCCCCTGCCGGCTGTTGCGACTTGAGTGCCCAACCGCCGAAGGGTCCCCCTCTGCCGGTACTGTGTACCAGCAATGCGCGGCACCTTGTCTTGGTACATGGACTCCACAGGATGCAAGGGGCCTGCACCAGAGAGAGGCTTCAGTGTATGGCCAGCCAACAAGGGCAGCGGCGAAGATGGCATGCAGGAATGCACAGATGGACAACGAACAAATCGCCTCGTCGTTGAAAGGAATCTGAGCGTACTAACCTGTGTGAATTCAACAGGATGATGCTTGGCATGTTCATCAGGTAGGCACGAGCACGAGCTGATACAATATTGCCTCAGCTCCCTTTGCTGCCCACAGTTTGCACTTATGCCAGAACATCGAGCACGCAAAAGAGGACAAGGTCCCCACACAGTGCCGTCGACGTATGCCGCATCGTCTATCCTGGGCATCAGGCAATGTGCTGCTAGTGGCGCGATTCTCCCCAGTTGGGCCCCCATTGCACAAACCATTGCATGGACAAGGGCTCAACTAAAACCTGTGCATCTGTCACCATACCAGTCAGCAGGTTCCAAAACTGATCACTGACCTGCCGGGCGGAGGTATTTGGCGTTCCCAGGCGTGTCCAGGATGGGGCGATCGGCCACCGGTCTCGACGCCCAGTCCACCTGCAAGCAATGCTGTGGGGCCTCCCAGCCGTAGCCATAGTACCCCTGGCTTATGGCCTTCACCTCCTGGCTGCTCAAACTCCCCAGGCCTGAGGACCTGCCCTGCACACGTGGGTCTCGTCCAATGTTGAAGCTGTCTTTCGAGTCGTAGCTGGATGGCGATGTTGGCTGACATGGGTCAGGTTGTGCGTCATCATATCTCCTCCTTGTGCCGTACCTCAAGGTTGCTGCACTTGGCTGGTGCGGAGGGGGGGATCCTGGGCCCCAAGCCAGCCGAGCACCAAGCATGGAGGATTGATGCCTGGGGACGGGGCCAGGTACAACGCCAACGGGCACGGAGCACGCACCACTTCCCCGTTCCCGTGTCTCATAGGGTGGTCCAAGATCTCGTATCAAACCCTGAGCAGAGAGGCTTTCACGGACACCATCGAATTGTGGATATTCCCAGTCCAATATGCATTCCTTGGTGCCCTGATCACCTGCCAGTGCTGGGCCTTGAGAATGGGAGTGCACATCCAGGCGGCCAAGGCTCAAGTTGCTGAAGGCCGCAGGTGGCTTACCAGCATAATGTGCCTGGGATATGCTGGCTGCAACAGGAGCTGTCGGCATGGTTGGGTACACACTGGGAGCCAGGGGTGGGGAGGCTTCAGCTGCATGGGAGCTCCTTGAGGTTGTGAAGTGTCCCCCTGGGTCGGAAAAAACACAAATGTTGTCCACACAGGCTGGCGGCATATACCGTGAAACCTCCATGGCCCCTATATGCAATTACGCAAAGACAAAGAAGGGCGCTTGAGGCAAAGACCCTGCTTGAGGTAAGGCCCATCTGAACAGCACAAGTCACAGCATGGCCCGTTGGTAGTTCCTGGTTAGGCAATCAACACTTCACATGCAAGCATATGTGCGCATCTGTAGCTCAGTTGGCCATAACTGCGCAGGGCAAGTGAAGTGACAACGAGACACCTTAACCACAGCCACAATTTCAGCAGCACACAAGCCCATCGTCGCCTCTAAGTTGCAAGGGCAATAATCTGTCTCGTCAAAGGCAATTTCAAGGAATACTGCAACATTTATTCCATCCCACCTAGGCTGCATCGGCAGACATGCAGCTTGTGCGGATTTGGGTGCTATGTGCAAAGGATCCCTTTTCACCATAGTTGCAAAGCTTCACCTTGCCACCAGCATGTATCAATACAGGGTATGCAGGCACAGCTTTCATGACAACCCAGCTTCAGCCCTTGCCAAATGCACTCCCCTGGAATCCCACTATGATGCTTAAAGGGCGCAAAAGACTTTCCAAAACCTTCCACACCGCTACCTTGTTCAGATGTGCGTCCCCGAGCTCGTTCGCCAGACCATTGCTTTCCACTGCCATGATCAAAGCTTCTTTCTTCATGGCTGCTATTTTCCAGGCTCAGGTTCACTTGTGCAGCTGTACCAGCAGTCCTGCAATCGACCACACCATTGTATGTGGGCAGCCATAGGGCAATGTTCCTGCTGAAGGGGGCAGCAAAGCATCACCCCAAAGTTGCACAAACTCAGGATCTCCAAATCTCTGGGAGAGTCGCTGTGCCAATCGCTGGAAATCGTTCAGTGGGCACAGGCGATCAGTATGCCGGGACAGGTACCAAGGACTGGTGGAATTGTCTTGGAAAGACTGACTTCAAGCTCAAATTTTGAACATCATGTAAGGCGTGACTTCATTGAGTTGTCACAACACTTGAAGAGGCAAACATTCTGCACTGGTTTGGCTGCTTCTGTTCAGCAGGTGCTGAGATGGGCTCCTTGCACTTCATCTGTTTCCACTTGCGTGACATGTGGCAAAGGTCACAGCTTTGCAGGGGTGAGCGATGCTGACTATTCAGCAGGTGGATGGAAATTTACCCAATAGTGTGGACATGCAATCTTGACGAACAAACACACAAGGCACCACACTGCTAAAACTGTGCTGTAGGTTGCAAATGGCACCATTGTGGAGAGCTGGGACTCCCGCAGCATAGTCCAAGACATATTTCTGGAAGAAATTTTTGGCTAGAGTCACCATAAGGCGCCCCAGAAGTGGAGCAGATCAGTAAGGCAGACAGCATAATATTGCAGATACTGTAACAACGACGCCCTGGGCTCTTCAACATATGCACATGGCAATACAATGGCTTCATTGAATAGACAACAGCTGGACGATGCCCTCTACCCCTTCCTCAAACACACCACACTACATTCACATAGCATTTAAAAGCACTATTGCATCATCTCCTGCTGGACAGTCTGCCTTCTTCAGTATACTGACAGTCTTCACTACATTCACAACGGACCTATCAGTCAGTGGTGCATCCTGCATCTCTCCCAGGTGCTGTTGGCCTACACAATCTCCATTTGCTGACACAGGCCCTTGAAAACGCTGATTGTCAAATTCACTGTTCCCAGCATGGGTGGGCATCACTCCTGTGCTTGTGCCTGCTTCGCCCCTGCCTTGTGGTTGCGAAAGCGTGCCTGGGCCAGAGCCTCGAGATGGAAGTCCTCCTTTAGTGCTTGTGGCGCAACTCTCCCCACCATTCATGGCGCAGCCTTCACAGCACAATCTGCTGTCAGGTTGCAAATTCTGTGCCACAATCTAGCCACCACAATCTAACAGAAGCACAATTTGTGATGCCCTATCACATAAGCCACACCGTGCTCCCCTTTCCTGCGGAGATTGCCTTATGTACAGCACATGAATTCTGGTGCCTGTGCTATGCAAGCGCTGGATAGCTACAAAGGGTGGTGGAAAGTGTGACCAAATGGGACTGGCAATGTATTTATCGCTTCTCAAGTTGCCATCCATTTTGCTGCTGGGTTGCAGATATGCGGTGTGAACAGATTTTGTGAAGATGAGCAATGGAACAGGCAAGAGCGTGACTACTGGGCTGCTTTAGTACAAAGAGCTTAGTACGAAGCAGCAGTGGCTGCAGTATGAAACGTCCGATTCGTATGTGTTCACACGATCGCATGAACCTGGCAACCACAATGGGGGTGGCCCGTTGCACATGGTTGCAGAAAAACCGCCACAGGCAGCAACTTCTAACCCAAAACCAGTGCTGTGCTAGAAAGAGCACAGTGGTCAAAATCAGTCCAAGGTTTGGCTGCAGCCGCGTGGGCCAGCCAAGGGACGTCGACCAACACATATCGGCACTTGCGTCCACCAGCGAATTAGCCAGACAAGCTCCGGGCCAACGTTCCGCACTGGGGGGCCGCGGCGTGCCTCCGGCCAGCCGTGCAGGAGTGTTGCCCGTTCCCGATCAGCATGAACAAGGCAGGGACTCTCTCCCATGGAAACTCACGAGCTATCCACAACAGCACATGCTCTGAAGATCGCCCTGGATCGGTGGGAGGAACGGGGCCCAATCGGCAGCCTCTCGACGCCAGGAGGCTGCATGCGGTGTGCGTGAGTGTTCGGGAAGCCCGAAACGACGCGGCGCTTCCAGAGCTAGAATAGCCCATGACGCCGGCGCCAGACTCTTCGAGTTTCTGGCGGCCAATTCCTCGCGACCAACTCTTGGTGCCGCAAGCAGGTCGAGATGCGCAGAGAGCCAATGACGTCGCCGCGGAAAAGATTCCAAGGAGACCGTGCTTGCGCACCAACCACCCACACGACAGCTTCGCGACCGCCTTGTCTGTCAGCGTTTATCCCACACTGCGTCCCACCCCGCCCAGCTGTGCCTCCTCCACGCGGCGCGCACTTAGCGGCGTCGCAACACAAACGAGGTCCCCACGGCCGCCGACCACAACGCCACGCCACAGAACGGGGCTCGCAATGCAACCCTTTCCAGCGCCAGAGGCGCGCTCAACGGCCCCTCCGCTCGCACTCGGCACAGGCCGGCCGGAACAGCGCCGCGAACATCCTTTGCATGGTGGAGTCGACCCCGGTCATCTCGGCCAGACTGGGCTTGCCGAGCACAGACAACCATCACGAGAGCGCCGGCGCGCATATCGGCAGCTTGAGCTGCGGCCTTCGCCGCTGCTCTTACCCCTGCGTGGGAAAAGGGCAGGGCGCAAAAGCCACCAAGTTTTCGATGTCGCCAGGCGGAATTCAGAGGGACGGCCACGCAGGCATCACGCCACGGGCCCCAGCCACAGCCGAATGTCCAGGCATGCACCCAAAGCCACGGGACAGCATTTCTCCATCCGCATGGGCCGCATGACTCGATCCCGCCCGGCGGCTTTCTCGGCGGCAGTCGGGAGGGTCCCGGCGGGGTCGTTGAGGCCCCGCGTCCCCGCCCCGCACGATGGGCCAACTGTTTCGACAGGCACAGGGGATGGGGCAAAGAAGCTCACCAGTGACACTGAGACCACAAGGGTGTGGCGGCACGCGCAGAGCAATGGGGAGTCCAGGGTGGTGCGCGCGGACGAGCGGGGCGGCCTTGGGGTACGCAGGCGGCGGTAGCGTCCGTGGGGGCCCCTCCGACAGGGGAGGGTGGGGGGCGCCGCGGGGGCGCCTTTATCGGGTCCAGAATGGCATAAAGGTGATGGATCACTGGCGGCTTTTTTCGTGACGGGCAGGGGACGAGCGCCGGAGACCGTGACGCCTGTGGCGTTACCCGTTACCATGTGCACGGATTGTGGAGGACGCTGTGCAGGAGCACCCTGCACGTAGGGGGCCTCAAAAGCAAGTCACTGTGGAGAGTTTCGCATTGGACTGGCGTGTGGCTTGATTGATAGAGGGAGCTGGTTCAGGGACTGAGCGTATGAACTGTGTGTGTGCGATTACCTGCAGAGATTTCATTTGAAGCACCAACCTGTGGTCAAGTGTGGCTTGGGTGGGAAAGACCAGGAGTGTACATTCAAGGAGCAATGCCATGGGAGGCAGCACGACAGCCCATCCCTGAGGCGGCGAGTTGCATTGTGCCGCAGAAGAACGGCCGGCAGTGCAAACGCCGTCTGGCTTCAGCCACTGGCATCCGGAGAGCGATAGCCGTCACTGCATGGCGCTAATTGGGCCGATGCGATGCATGTCATATCCGTCAAATCCCGTCAATCGCCGAGTCGAGCCTGAAGACTTGGTAGCTCCATAGGCTGAATTTGTCGCTCATGACAAGTAAAGCCCTGGCACCTTGATGACGGGTTGACAAACATCCAAACGACTGACGTTTGGAGGTGGGGAATGCGTGTTGTGGGGCCCGGGCACAGTGGCCGACGGCCTTGTGTACGAATCCTGGCTTGGGTTCAGCCCTTATTTATGCAACATTCAATGTGCTTTTCTGGTTCTTCCCCACACGCATAGTGGCTGTTTATGCCAATCTCTATCTGGTAGGTATCAATGTAGCGTCACAACGTTCGGTCACCGTGATGCTACTCATATGCCATACACTGAGCAACTAGATACATGATTTGCGGTTCATCCACGAGAGGAAGACCCAACACACCTTGTCCATTATATCGCACCAATTGGTACGACAATCAATGGAATGCAAAGTTCTGTTGGTGCTGCAAACGGCATTGGACAGAATGGGGACCGTCCTCGAGGAAACTAGAGCCTGATCACAATGCAACGCCTTCATCGCCGAACCTATGGAGCACCATGGGCAAGGCCGATCCACGCGCGTCCTTTGCCTACACCCAGCCCGCCTTCCTGGAGATGAATTAAGCTTTCCCACAAAACCAACACGCACCAGATTCAATCATTCCTTCATGCCACCCGCCCAGCCCGTGGCCATCAATGCCCTCTGCATCCACTGCACTGTCATGCACCCAACAAGCACCAGTCAAGCGACTACGACATCACGAACAGAAGGGAAACCCCCAAAGATCCTGCTGCATTCCACACGCGCATTCCGCCTCGCGCAGTCGACTACAGAACGCAGCCATCACTCGCGCTTGACAAACGGATCCAGCGGCTTCCCGATGGCGTAAACAACGAAGCCAATCTTGCGCAGCTCGTCGTGGTCCAGGATGTTGCGCCCATCGAAGACATAAGCCGGCTTGACCATGGAGTCGTACACTTTCCGGTAGTCGTACGTCTTGAACTCATCCCACTCGGTCATGATGCACAGCGCGTGTGCCCCATCCATCGCCATGTACGGGTCAAAGTGCATGGAGACGTTCTGCCTGAGTTTGGCGTCTGCTTTGGTTGGCGACATGGGGATGTCCCACTCGAATTTCGACATGGACAGGTCTTTGAACACCTGCTCCTCCGGCACCTGCGCGCGAGTGCCGAGCAGGCTTAGGCATACCAAATACGGTGGTCCGTGCGTTTGGGGTGAAGCATTGGGGACGCCACCTGGGCGGAAGGGTAGAAATGTCTGGGTTCTGGGGACAGACCCTCTTGGCTGGACCGCTGCGCAGGGCTGCAACGGGGTTTCCGCTTGGCTTGGGGCAAGAAGTTGTGCGGGAATGGTCACTGGGGGCTTTGGAGCAACTGGACATGGGCTCACATCTCATGCACTTAACAACTTGGGTTTAGGTCAATCTTGGCAAATATTCAGACTGACCACTTTTTGTCAATTGACGCATAGAGTGCCCTGTCGGCTCTCCACTGTGGAGACAGTCGACTCTTTGCACAGGCTGGAGAGAGCACCTCGCAACACTACAAGGAATCGTTGCACATACTCCCATACAGTGAGGATCATTGAAGACTGCAAGACAGGCCAGTTGTGGCTCACTTTGATGCCAGAACGGACCACACAACGCACCTTTGGATCATAAATCATGATGTTGGCACCCTCCCTGATCAGCCCATGGCAAACATCAATGGCCGCTGTCTCACGTGTATCACCAGTGTCCTTCTTGAACGCAAATCCCATAACAGCGATCTTCTTTCCGTAGACGGTGTTGAACATGCTGGATGCGATTCTCTCCACAAACCTGGTTGGAAGGCCATCAAGGGTGTCAATGTTGCGAACAGAGGCACGCCATTGGGTGCCAGGGTAGCGAAACAGAGTGTCAGCATCACACTATGGATCTATGCAGATTGCTTGCAGTGCTTACAATCTTAGGTCAAGGGCCAGCCACAATCAGTGTTTACGTTGTGGCAACGCAAAGAATGGCTCACTGGCTGTGGTACGTGTCCCTGCTGAGCGTAAATCATCAGGTACCGTTAGTTCTTCTTGTGGTTAAAAGGCTTGCATATTGACTGGCAAGAGATCATCTCGAACCCTACGTCATAAGACACACAAGGGAGATCATCACAGACAGCATGATTGAGCACACCAACTTCTTCCCATCTATCATTGGCGACTTGGAGCGGCACAGAGGTGGAAATGAAATGTATTCATGGCTGCGTGCCGAACAGATGTCAGAAACTGTGCGCATGGGAGCATGGGCCATAGGAAAAGGGACTATACAGCACAAGCCCCTCGCCCACCTCTGTTTCTGATAGTCGTTCATGGAAACAACGCTGTGCCAGTAGTCTGCTACCTTCTGGAGGCCCAGCGTCTCGCACACATAGCACAGATTCAGTATGTCCTTCTGGAAGCAGGATCCCCCAAATCCAACGGAGGCGTTGAGGAACCTGCGTCCAATGCGGGAGTCCATCCCGATGGCATGTGCCACTTGCTGAACATCAGCCCCAGTCACCTCGCACAGAGCTGAGATGGCATTCACGGACGAGATCCTCTGAGCAAGGAAAGCGTTGGCTGTGAGCTTGGACAACTCGGCAGACCAGAGGTTTGCTGTGATTATTCTCTCAGAGGGCACCCAGTGTTCGTACACACTCTTCAATACTTGAATTGCCTTTTGGCCGGATTCTGTTTCAGCGCCACCAATGAGAACCTGCAGAAGGTGGCACAGATACCTCATCATCCCTGAACATTGTCACAGGCGTTCAAGAGCACAATAGCACACACTACTGGCACGAGTTGCCAAAAACAGCAGTATGGCAGCGTGCACCAGCTTCAAGCACAAGACACGCAAGGGCAGCATGCAAGAAGCAGAAGTAGATCGTGAGGAGGCAGCAGATTGATACAAATCAACTCATCGACTCATATCGCAACAACTCCAGGCAGCATGATCTCCTCACCCTGTCTGGATTCTTGAGATCCTCTATTGCTGTTCCCTCAGCAAGGAATTCAGGATTGGACAGTATCTCAAACTGAACGTTTGGATCACCACAGTTCCTTCGCAGCACCTGCATGGTCAAGCAATGCATCGTCGTAAGATGCTGATACTTCTGGCGAAATGAGACCACAGTGCGAAAAGATGGTGCACAATTTGCTCAGCTACAGTTTGTTTGCCGAGGAGATTACTTGTGCCTGGACACAGTCGCATCATCTTCACAGCGACACCAGGTAGAGCACTGGCGAATGGCTCAGATGAGGGCCAAACTCAAGAACCTTCCCTCTTTGGTTGCACCAATGTTGGCACTTGGCTGTAAGCTGACCACGAAGATGGTGAGCAATTACGTCTGATCACTGCATAGAGATTTCCTGCAAGAAGGTTGCTGTTACAACCTCAGCACGAGTTTCAACGTCTTCCAATTAGCGTGCGTTGCAGTTTTTGGTCTTTTCTTAGGGTTTTGAGTCCACCTTGTGTCCACCAAGACGCTGTGGTCGAGGTTTGATTTTCAGGCAAGTGTATCCTCGAGTGTTGAGGCAACGATGGCTGGGAGGCCCCGTGCAGGCAACGTGTACCACCGCATATAGCAGCATATCGTCTCTGGATAAGTTTCCCTGTGCTGACATTCGTCGGCCATTGGATGCCTTCCTCACTTGGATACTTTGTAAAGCCCTACAACACCCCTCCTTGTCCTGCTATCTCCACATTTGCCTGTGCTTCCACAAGATGGGGCACCGACATGACTAAGCTCATTCCAGAGCACCAAGATCAATGGGTAAGCCAGGAAATCGAGGGACGACTCATTCGGCAACTCCACGAGTATTCCAGCGGCCAACGATCCGCGACCAACGCACGGCCCCGGGCCCCGGTAGCGAATGTATTAGTCCCTCTGTCTTTTCCGTGAGGATCCCTTCTTCTTCCGCTGACAAGGCCAACGCCGGTCAGTTGGTCAGTGGTTTTAGGGTGTCCGAAACAAGAATGGATCTTCACGGAAAACGGAGCGACTAATTTCATGCCCCCGGCGTGCGTGTGACGTTTGGCGGGCGGGCGGCTCACGCAGGTCAGCCACGGGATAGCGGGTGAGTCAGGGGATCGTTTGGCAGGCGTTTGCGCGGGCGAGATGAGTGAAGTTCACACAATGAACGTGCCTTGCCGATGGCGTCCGCGGTCTTCACGGGCACGGTGGACTTCTCGACAACGATCTTGCTGGACGTGGAGACGGCGGCAATGAGCCGCGCGGCGCCCTCCCAGTACGTCAGGTTGGCGGCCTTCCCCGCTCCGATGCCCGTCGTCTTGGTCGGCGTGTTCACGCTGGAACAAGAAGGCACCGTCAGCGAGGCAATCGAGTTGCTGGCATTCAACCCCATTCTGGGGCGCTTTGGACTGCCTGGTCGCCAGATGAGCGGACGCCGCAGCGGCAGCAGACATCGCGTGGCACCGTGCAGCGATATGCGTCCGCCAATGGGCCGATGCGCCACAACAAAGGCGGAGACCGGCTCAGCGATGGAGCGCTGTTCAGTGCTGGTGCCATCCGGCACTGACAAGGACGTAGTTTCTGTCCAGGAGGGATCTTGGCCGATGCGGCAAGCTTCGGTGACGGATGTTGGAGTCAGAGCTCTGAGGGTACACGCTGCGGGGGAGGGTGGGGCTGGCTGTGGGTTGGAGAGCTTAGAGCGGCTGGCGGCGCGAGGCCTGCGCGCCCTAGGGCCTGACCCCATGCTCAAAGCACACGAAGGGGGCCACCCCACTGGGCGGTTCACCTCGTGAGCGCAAGGATATGAAGCGCTGCGCTCTCGAGGTGCGTACGTTCGCGACAAAGACCCTGCTGACAGCAGCGCGCCAAGCCCCGGGCAGGGTCTTGTGCTCGATCCGAGTCCGGCCGCGCCCACCGCGGCTTTGCGGGCGCAAGGGACCAACAGGCCAGCGGCTCACAGCCGTCGACGAATATGCACTTGCATATGCACCCCGATGAAGGGAGCTTCCTGAAGCTGAGAACAGTCGCGCGACGGCGCGGAGCGAGACATTGGGAGCCCGGGCTCCCCCGCGCGCAATTGCGCATAATTTTGACAGGCCGCCCCCGCGCGGAAGCAAGGAAAACATGGCGGTGGCCAGCCGGAGCCTCACACCTCACGAACACAATGTCCGCCTCTTGGACGTGCTTGTGGGTGTCCGTGCTGAAGAACAGGTTCCTCCCCCTGCAGACCTTGACCACGTCGTCCAGCCCGGGCTCGTAGATGGGCAGGTCGTCGCTGTTCCAGGCCTTTATACGGTCCTCGTTGATGTCCACCACCACCACCTCTATCTCCGGGCACCTGTTGGCGACCATCGCCATGGTGGGCCCCCCCACATAGCCAGCGCCGATGCACGCGATCTTCATGCTTCCTGTGTCCGACTGGGTGGGGGGGAGCGGGGGGGGGTGGCTTCGGAGTCCCAGGGGTCGCCCTTTGGCCTGCGCGAGAACTGTGCAGCAAGGATATGTACGCGGGTGGCGGGGGCACTCCAGGAGCGGTGGCGCGTGGGCTGGGGGTCCCGCTCCCATGTGTCAATGATAAATGGGCGGCATTTGCGCCGGCGGCCGTACGTTCCGGGCACCGCGCCTGGGGCGGCCGGTGTACAGGGGAGAGCGAGGTTCGGGCTGCAGCCGGCCGGCCCAATGGCGGGTACAGACATTACGCACTCGGAACGATTGACAAGTCGGATGCCTGACGCGCGGGGGCGGACTCGCAGGCCGCACTTCTCCTGCTTCATTCGAAGCTCCGTGCCAGCAGCAGGCTGGGCAGGAGCGCACGCTCACTCCTGAGGGCACCGGCAGTACCGCAATGTGTGATTTGACAAGGGTGTCGTAGAAATGCACGGAGAGGCAGCGACCGGATTGCATAAGCTGCTGGGCGCCGTGCTTTGGGAAATGGGCATGAAGGGAATAGGAAAATGTAAGGAACTCTTGGGCCAGTCGACGTCCTTTGGTACGGTAGCCTCGCTTGATGAGGTTTCGAACTGGGGGGGATGTGCGAGAGCACTGACGATGCACCACGCGCTCTAGGAATGAACAGTGCCGCTTTGGCTTCTGGCCGATGGCGCTCGTGTGGTTTGGTTCCCAGCGGATGCACGACCCAGCTGCAATGTAGATCGTTGGTAGTATGTCAGGGGCAAATGGGTCCTGGACACGGTTCCAGGCAGGGCGTATGGGCTCCAAATATGACTTTGACGGTTCCCTCCCCAGGTCGATGGAAGGCCTCTGCAGCCAAGAGTATCTGATGATGTCAGCTATTTTGCTAGACCTCCCTCACCCATCCCCAACAGTATGGATCGATTTCCAGCAACCCACGGCAGAAGCACTGGCGTCGAGACTCGCCATCGTTACTCAGTAACGTTGTGAGATTCGTGCATTTATTTGTAAACCGGGATTCGCTTTGTTCGGCTAGGAAAGCGAGTCGCAAAGTGACACAACGATTTCTGATGATGAAATCAATACTGTGAGAGATACCGGCTCAACATGGATATTGTGTTCATGCCAACATGTTGTGTGTATTATATACCCAGGAGCCAGCGTGCCACTGCAGTGGAAACCAGCGGGGGAGGCTCAGCGGACTCAAATGGCAGACACGAATTCCTGCCAATACCATACTTACCCTTTATTTAAAAGGGGTGTATTGGACTCTCAAAAAGAGCGGTGGATACTAATAGTAGGTCACGTGCACTAACGATGTTTACCCCTGAGCTTAGGATCACTTACAGGAATTTTTTAAATAAGCGGTGAAATGCCCAAAAATATGTTTGAAACAATGCAAAATGCAGTGCATAGGTTGCGGCATCACAAAATCAAAGTTACAAAATAACAGACACCACGCTATTGATAACTCCATATTGTCAGCGACAATGCTATTCCCAGCACAATATCCTGAACGGAAACGCAGAAACGCATTCACAATCAATCGCTGTCCGCATCCATATCTGATGCGAAGCTGTCAAAATCTTCATCAACACTTTCCGGGTCATCAACAATTTTGACGGGAGACGCCAACATGTTCGGGTGGTCGGCGGCCCCGCCATCTGGCCTGGTTGGTGCGCCTTCGGTCAAGCTGAAGGCACGCTCGGGCGAGCTTGGCGGAGAGTGCGTGCAGACTATTTGTGAGGATCACTTCGAGGCGATAGGCTGGGTACATTAGCATGTATCGCGAGGGGCGGCGCCTTATGTATAAAAATGGTACTGTATAACCAAAAATGTGAAGAGAACCCGCATAATGACCCCACGTCTGATGTGGTACAGAGCAAAACGTATAGTGGAAGTGGTCGGATGCATTTTACAATACCGTATTTACCCTGTATTAGTAGGCGTGTATTGAACCTCCAATATGTGCGGTGGATACTAATAGTGGGTCATGAAGTTAACTATCTTGTTAATGGGTTTCTGCCAAGGGCGACGTTGGGTGGGCTGCGCCGGCGATTCAAACGGTGCAGTTTGAACCTGGGGTTTACTCAACCCCGTCCCCTGGGATTTCTGGCCACCCCTAGTACCGTGGGTCAGTCAAAGTACAGTATTCCGAGGTGCCGCCCGTGAGGGCGCCCTCGAGTTTGGCGGGCTTTGGCGGGGCGGCAGGGGGCGGCTATTTAGGCAACCCCTCGGTCCCCCTCCTTATCTTGTTTCACTTCGCGCCACTGCATTGGCACAACCCGCAGGCACCGAGTGCCTTGTCCCTCCGGCTACGGCCGAGTCCTTTCTATGAACCGTTCTCCGGCCGAGCAGTGGCTGCACGACCAAGCGGTTCGGTTCAACGACGGTCCGCCTACGGCTTCCCTTGACGAAGTCTGGTTGTCCGACCCCCGGCTCCTACCGCAAGCGGTGACCAACCCGGTGGTCCGACCTCCGGGAGTATGCTTCCCCGAGTGGTTCGACGTCCGCCGCACCTCCGAAGGCGGGCAGCTCGCGCAGGCCCTGGGAGCCAACTCCGGGTACTTCCAGGAGTATCAGAACTGGGCCCCCTACGTCGCGTGGCAGTTCGACCTCACTGCCGCGCTGATCGACTTCGTGGCGCACCTGGCCTTCCCCCCCGAATTCCGGGAGGCCCTCCTTCCGTACGTCCATGCCCAAGTGACCGTCACGTCGTGCCTTCAGAGCCTGATCCGCCTCCAGCAAGTCCACGGCGAGCAGAAGGGCACCTCCCTCGACGGTCTGTGGAAGGCGCTTCAGACCAACGTACGATTGGGCGTGGTGCATCGATGGTTCTGGGACCCCTTGATCGACGAGCCCCTCGAGCACATCCGCAAAGAGGTCCTCAATCAGCAGCTCAAGTTGGCAACAAAGTCCGCGGTGGCTCAGCATCAAGCGCAACTCAATCGACAAGCTCCCGCGGCCTCGCCTCCCGGCGGTCCTTCCTCCGGCGCCAAGCATCAGCGCGCCAAATCCAAGACGTCCGGCGCCCCGCCTGCGCCTCCCAAGCCGACCGCCTAGAGGCCCCGCCCTACGCGCGCCTCCAGGGCCGGCTCGCGCCCTGGCGATGCATCGGCGCCCCCTCCCGTGTTTTTAAATGGATCCATACGGGGGCGCCGCTCCAGTGGGGCCCGGGGGGTCCTCCGCCCCCCTTCGATCAAGGCGAGTACCCGCTCAAGACGCCGGCGGAATGGCAAGCTTGGCGGGAGCTGCACGACAAGTACCTTCGGATGGGGGCGATCGTCCGGACGGAGCCTTCTTCCAACGCCCGGATTTCGCGCGCCTTTTTGGTGGCCAAGCTGGCGGAGAACGGGAAGACCAAGTACCGTTTGGTCATCGACCTTCGGCGGATCAATCGCCACCTCAAGAAGGTCGGTCTCCGCTATGAGCGTTTGAAGGATTTCGGATTTCTGTTGAAAAAGGATAACTTTCTGGTGGGATTCGACGTGAAAAATGCATACCATCACATTCGGATGCGCGCCGATCAAGAACATTTCTTGCTCTTTCGAATGGGTGGTGAGATTTTTGCTTGTCGGGCACTGCCCTTTGGCCTATCTCTGGCCCCCTTTTATTTCACTCATGTCATGCTCATTGTGGTCCGTTTCTTAAGGACCCCCGCTGCATCTGCACGGGCTGGAACTCGGTTTCGATTTGGCTGCTTAGCGGGTAATGACTCCATTCTTCAGTACTACCTAAAGTACTCGCGGGAGGTGCCCGCGTTGATTTTAGCGTATTTGGACGATTTCATTGCAGCCATGTCAGATCCGGTTCGTTTGGGGGAATGGTCCCATTTGGTACAACGAGTTTTTCAGGCTCTGGGGATTGAGTTCAAACATTCCAAATGCCAGTGGGATCCGGTTCAACGGAAGACCCATTTGGGCGTGATCATTGATACTTGCCGGTGCCAATTTCTGGTGCCTCCGGACAAGGCCGCTGCTATCGCCTCTAGGGCTCGTGCTCTCCTCCAATCGGGCATGGTTGTGGCGCGACATTTGGCTCAGTTTTGTGGGTCTGCAATTTCGTTGTATTTGGCCTTTCCGCTGGCCTGCTTTTTCTTGATGAGTCTTTATGAGTTGTTACGTGGGAAACGTTCGTGGAGGGATCATCTTCCTTTGACCTCCCAAGCCCGCCTAGACCTTTTGGCATGGACCAATCTTTCGCGGCTCGCCGGCCGGGCTCTCCAACCGGGTTCGCTGCCATTGCTGGGCACCCTTGCAATGGATGCAAGTCTTACAGGTTGGGGAGCGACTTTTCAGCCTGTGGGCTAGGCGGAACCCATGTTAGCACGGGGCTTTTTTGATCGGGAGCTGATTCATATTAATGTTCGTGAAATGCAGGCCGTACACTTGGCCTTGCTCAGTTTCTTTCCTCACCGGTATTCCGGGACGACTTCCCGGCCAATCCGTTTGTTGGTGGACAACCAGGTGGTCTTGCACTGTCTCCTTTCCATGACTACTAGGGCCACCAGCCTACTGAGGCCCTTACGTCAGCTAAAGGCGGTGTGTACTACGCGCCGGATTCTCCTGGAGCCGGAGTACATTCCCTCGGCAGAGAACGTACTGCCAGACCGGCTTTCCCGTATACGGACCTCGGAGGACTACCGCCTGAATCCGCGCATATTCCGGGAGGTCGCCCGCAGCTTCGGGGCCTGTTCTGTGGACCGATTCGCATCCGCCCGGAATGCCCTTTGCGCACAGTTCAACAGTCAGTACTGGGATGTCGGTACGGCAGGAGTGGATGCCTTCCAGCAGGATTGGAGTGGCACCAGGTCTTGGTGCAATCCCCCGTGGAGTCTCCTCGCGTAGCTCGTGTCCTTCCTTGCCTTACGCCCGGAGCTGGAGGCGGTGGTGCTCGCGCCGGACTGGCCGAGCGCGGTTTGGTTTCGCCCACTCCGAGCG